AGTCACAGGTACTGTTTGCCGTGACATTCAGTCCTGGGCAGAAGTTCTGTCCCAAAAATTCATTATACTGCAAAGCCTATAACACAACGGGAGCAGGGCAAGGTAAATAGTTTCAAATTTCAAAATGTTTCCAAAGAATTATCACAATCATGTCCTCTGAGTGTGGTCTTTATTGCTATTTCTAAAAACATAGCAGGTTTCACATTCACAGTCTTTCTAACAACAAAGCAACTGTTTTCTCTGGCAGGGAAGAGGCCTAGGCTTTGGATTTTTTGGTTTGTCCAATACAAAGGAACCAAATGTCTGGCTAAGAGGGGAGATCTCTGGCTACATTACCCCATGGTTCTTTCCTTCTCTTCTCAACTTTCTAATTTTATATGATTTTATTAATTTATTGTCATAATCTTTTGCTCTTGCTGATTTTCATCAAATCCAGCTGTGATTGTCCAGAGTCAGAAACTCAATTATGCTATATTCACACAATGACAGTTTTCTTTAGCCAAAGCAAATATGGCTATGTGTATTATTTAGTCTTGGTTTTCCTTCTACTCCCTCTTTCAATATAAACTATCAATTCTAGTCTACCATCTTCTCATTTGCTTACTGAACTGAAACACAGCCGTATGTTTTCTACCAGTTACTTGATCTGTCTTCTTTAAGGGGAGATACCTTCCTTCCCTTACCTCCCTCACACACTGAGATGACTGGAGAAAATCCCAGTGACCCCTGACCTGTGCTAAGCAGCTCTGATAGAAATTTCTCACACATTGCTCCCAAAATGAAATTCCCAGATGGGAGATTTTCCCCACCATGCCTGGGTAAATGAGGGGGAGAGGCTTTATTTCAGCTCTTCCTAGCTTGGGAACCCAATCACAGGGACAGCCAAGGACAACTTACGGTATAGCCATATTTAGGGATGCTCAAGTACTGAAGCCAGGACAGCCAAGATGCAATGGTTGTGAGGTTTACCAACAGACCTGAGAAAATCTATGAAAGAAAACGCCCAGGGTCAAAACCGGTTGAGTGATTACATGAAGGAATATAAAATATCCTCAAGTCACCTACAACCTGCTATACACTCCTGCTCAGCCCAGCTCTTCCTGGATATTCTTTCCACTTACTCCAAACGCCTGCTAAATCTTCCTCCCTTGCATTTGCATATTTGTACATTTCTGAAGTTGTTTATGGCTTTAAAGGGCGGATAATATACCTGTAATCTATATTAGATCTTCCATTTAGTTGGAAGATCTTTAATTGTCAAGACCATTCTCAGCTTTCCCTTTAACTGCACACAGCAGAAAATCAAGAACAGGGGCCGGTGCCGTGGCTCACTTGGTTAATCCTCTGCCTGCGGCACCGACATCCCATATGAGCCCCTAGTTCTAGTCCTGGCAGCTTCTCTTCCAGTCCAGCTCTTAGCTGTGGCCAGGGAGGGCATGGAGGATGGCCCAAGTGCTTGGGCTTTGCACCCAAATGGGAGACCAGGAGGAAACACCTGGATCCTGGCTTCGGATCGGTGTAGCACCAGCCATAGTGCCCATTTGCAGAATGAATCAATGGAAGGAAGACCTTTCTCTCTGTCTCTCTCACTGTCTATAA